CAGGCAGCCAGAGCCATCTCCCAGGCTTTGCATCCTGCTGGAAACAGGCACTGATTAAAATGCATTGAGAGGCAGTGCTGGGAAGCCAGGGACTCAGCGCTCCTCTCAGTCAAGTGCTCTCTATCACATAACCATACTTGTTCTGCTTCTTTGCATTTTCCTGTGGACCTCACTGGTTTTGGAGTAGATTTAGGGAGGAAAATGGAATTGTCTCTTCCCATGCTGGCCTGTAGCCTAAACCAGACTTCTGAGAGATGCAGCTTTGAATACCCTAATGGAAATTTCCCTTTTTTTCCCTTGTAGTCCCTAGGGATGTATATAAAGTCTGTGCAATGGCACCATCATCACTGTCTTCTCAAAACAGGGAGCTTTGCTCAGTCCTTGCAGAGTTTATCTGCAGGCACTTTTCCCAGGGACTCCCAGCACCAGACCCTGGATCAGCACGGGTCCCTTCCTCCAGCCACCACCTGCAGACACATACTCCTACACCTGGCCGGGGCACTGCTGGGAGCTCCTGCTCCTCAGTAAGGGGTCACACAGAAAACTACCGCAGTACAAATTCAGTACATAAACGTAAGGAAGAGGAAAGTGATATTTATTTTAATGTAAAATTGATTTCTCTAACATGTCACTCACACCTGCACACCTACAACCTCACACACACACACATTCACCAAAAGGTAGATGTGTATGTGGCATGGTTGGGGTCACTGTGTGTGACACAGAGGACAAGGGACATCCACTAGCAAGTCCTAATGACAGCTCTGGTGTCCCTCTTCATTGACAGCAAAGTACTGGGTTTTGGACACATTTTTCACATGCTTTAGGAGTCAGTAGTTATTACAGGCTGATCTTTAACTCAACATCTTGTTTACTCACCCCTCATAAACCCTAGGAAAGCTGGTGCCTGTTGTATCCTTTCCCTCATTTTGGGCGCTTTAGATAAACCTTCCTCTCAGAACCACAGAAAGCTCAATGGCACATCACAGCATAACCTTGGTCCTGACACAAAACACACATCCTGAAGCATTTATTCATTTTTTTGCTGCTGGTTGTGTCTTTGGTCATCATCACAGGCTATGTGTCCCTTGCTCTAGCATTCCTGCTGGTGATTTCACACACGCTTTTCTATTTACACTCCATACACACTAACACTATTTCCATTACAAACCTCTACAGTACTTTCACCAAAGGCAGGATTCCTATTATAAACCATGTGAACACTAATAGTAAATTTTGAGTCTAAGACAGTCAGGCTAGCTCTGACTGCTAGTAAAAGGATGGTTCACATTTAATGGCGTTTTATACCAATGTGGATAAATGGCTTCTCAGGCAGCTGGCTTATGAGGTTCTCAAGGTGAAGGTACCTCCAATCATATGAACATGAGCAGTCCTCAGGCCACCTTCCCATACCTAGGCACTGAGATGCCACAGGGCAGCAGGCAGGAACACGAAGGTCCACGTGGACAGCTGGAGCACCCAAGAAGAGGCCAAAGTTTGCAGAGAAGAGACAGAGATGCAAGCTCCGGGCTGTGCCTCGGCCACCGCATTCACCCTCAGCTGTGCTACAGGGGTCTGAAATGCTGCAGAAGTCAGCAGCTGAGATTTCACCTCTTAGAAAATGAACTGCTGAAACATGATTATTAGTAATAAAATAAGAGTCTTATTTTCCCTATGGATGGGGAATTTTCTTTTCCATCATACATTCTCACCATGTCAGAAACATAACGCAGCAATTAGATGTGACCAAGGGTTACGCACTGTGTAGGGTGGCTTTATGGAGAGTGAGAGACCTGAGAGCTGACACCCAAGTGTGGACAACTCCACCTCCCAGCCTTCACTCATCATTTGATTAGCATTGGAGAAAGCCCATGAGAGAAACATGTGAGCTCTCCAGCAACATTATACTGTTCCAAAAATTAAACACTGCCTTTTAGTGTCCACTCCTGGAGCATCCTGAAGCACTTGGTGCTATTTAGCTTAGTAATAAAGAACTGCCTGAAAACCATGCTATGGAATGAGTGACTTCTCACCTAATTCTTTCAAGGGATATATTGAGGCACAGAGAGGTGAAAAGAAAGTACATATGTTTGCAGGAGTCCTTCCACAGTGGCAGGCACAGCTCCCAGTCATGATTCATAGCACTGCACCAACAGAGCTTCTCCCTCTGCAACAGCAATTACCCAAAACCTCTGTTATTCTCCTAAAACTTCCAGTGTTACTAAAATGTAATTTCCACCTCACTAATCAGAGGTGAAACCGTATGACCTGGCAATCCAGACTCCTTGGACAATGCCAATAAACAAAACTGGTAACTCCCACCTGGTACTGATAAACTCCAGAAAAGTTCTGAGCTAGAAGAGTTTCCAGGACAGACTTAGCATCACCTTCTCTGTGCACTCCAGTCACACATCTGAGACTCCCCAGTGTTACTCCTCCAACAGCTTCCTGCAGTAAATTGTAGGGCTGCTAATCCGAGTGCCAGAACTCATTCCAAGAGCTGCCACATGCACATGGAGGAGCCATGAAGGGAACACACGCAGCGCAGGCAAGACATGAATGAAACATGGGTGAAAAAATCTGTTCTAGCTACCATGGAGAAGCACAGTACTGAAGACATAGCAACAGCCTGGGCTAGCAAATGCAAGCAGAAGTCCTCCAAGGATGCTTTGGGATCATTTCCATCACTGACACCTAGATACTGAGCTGGCCACTGGATCCCCAGCAGTGCACTGCTTACAGGTATGTTGAACTCAGCTCCCATGCCTGGGACATCATGGCATGGGGACAGACATCATCTGGCCCAAGGCTGAGCAGGTCTGGTGGCTGCTGGTGATGGGAAAGATCAAGTCAGCCCAACCAGCTTGCCCTGGAGCTGGCCCCTCTCATCCCAGGGGAATGGCAGGTCCCAGAAGGAGCTGCTTGTTGCCACCTCCTCTCGTGCCTCACTCGAGAGTCTGAGCTCAAGGGAATCACCCTCATCTCCTAAAGGACACAGGGAGCCTCTGGTACCCTGCAAGATGACTCTGGTTTGTAGTTCCCAGGGCTGGGGAGTTCAACCAGCCTGCCATCAGTTCAAACTAACATACATGTCACACCTTCCCTTGCAATGGCCAGAGGCTTGTAGGTCAGAACTAATCCCCTGGGACTGCTTTTTCATGGATATTTGGTAGCTGCAGACCACAGAGCAAATCTGTAAGTCACCAACTGCATGATGCACCACTCACTAAACAGTGCACAGACTGCAATTATGAGTGACTTTTGATTCTGCACCTTGAGTGTTCACTGTTGTCCATGATCTAGGATCCATTAGAAACACCAAACTGTTTCATTAACTGAGGTACATCAGAACCATGAAGAGCTGGAGTGATGTCTACGTGCCAACTGTGACAGTGAGGGATGTGCTGAGGAACTTCCGCAAAGAGTTGCACAGGCAGTGACTACGATGACAGCTTTGGAGCCGACACTAGTTGTCCATCACTCACCTGCGTGAAGACTGGACAAGCACAAAGAGGAATGATTTCTCACAAACTTGTGCCTGCTGCCAAAAAAAAAAAAGGCTGCAGAGAAAGTCAGGTATGTCTAACTGTCTGCTTTTTGGGAGGTACCTGAGATATTCAAAGACATCTGCATGAATTTGTGATTGTTATCCTTTATCTCAAAAACAATCTACCGTGTGAAGCCACAAACCAAAGGGATTTTGGTAACAAGAAGTAAATAAATGGCTACGTAAGTCTTCCAGACAAAGTGGATTTGGATCCAGAGCTGGTGTTGTTTTTTCTCCATCATCTTCCCACAAAGGCGGCAGAACAGAGCCAGGGTGACAGATGAAGATGAGTGTCATGCAGCACCCAGGCCTCTCCATAAACACCAGGTGCCACCTTTTCCTTGAGGAAGGAGGAAAAGCAGGGACAAGTGTCCAGGAAGGGCTCCAGCAGGCAGCACCATCTGCTGCCAGCCCTCATGCAGCACCGTTGAGGTGTGGGGGCCAATGCTCAGGCAGAGAAGGCTCTTGTGAGCTCCCAGCTCAGGTACAGCTCCTATGTAGAAGCTGCCGGCTGTGTTCCAGCCTGACCCACAAGACAAATGTAAAATTGTGTTTAGCCATGCTCTTTGAGGCAATCAGCACAGGGCAACTGAGCATCTCCCAGCTGGAACCAAGCTGGGGATCAAAATCCTGAGCACAAGGAAAGCAAAGCAAAATCCCCAAAACTGTAAGGCACCAGCACAGCCAAACATCTCCATGCCCATGTCTTTCTGCCCTCCTGATAAAGTCTCCTGACTATATATGGGGTACAAAGTTAGAAAACTGGATATTCAGCCACAGTTTTCCATTTAATTTGCATGGGTTTGTCTCTTTATTTTGGTTGGAGGGTCTCCATTCATCCCACAGTTCAGCAGGGATAAAAAGGGGCTCTACTTTCACACTGGAGTTTTATTTAGGCAAACCTTCTTAAATTGTTATTACCCCCTTTTTACAGCTCTAAAAAGTAAACTTCTGTTGTTTGAGAACAAGCAATGCAGGCAAATCTTAGGAAACATAAACCTCATTCATGATACAGAAAAATATTCCATGAAAGCCTTAAGAACTTAATCATTAAAGCAGCCCCAGCCACGTACTACCAGACACTTGGCAAACCATCTTTCACCTCATCTACAAGCAGCTTTTTGACAGTAGGCATTCAGGGCATTTACAAAGAAAGAGCTGCAGGTGTAACAAGATACCCTTGCTTTAAAAGATGCACAACAGTGACTGTCAGTTAACTGAAAATCCTATGCTGGGATGCTGATGATCCAAACTCAGGTAAAGATCAATGTTTTCAGGGACTCCCCACCCTCCCAACAGCTGCAGTTTTCAGCTGCACGTTTGCATGACCAGTTTCAGGGTGAATTCTCAGCCAGGTGAGCTCCCCCAGAATCTTCACGTGTGCCCCTCCAGCCATGCCCTCATTTGGGGAAACCCGCAGCTTTGTCTGTACAGGTAAGGAAACATCTCTTACGTTTTGCAGGGTGTCTTGATACTGCGGCAGTGACGAGAGCTGTGACTCAGAGTGGTACGGGGACAACCCTTTCCTCAGAGTCCTCAGGTCTCCTGTGCTGGACTGCTGCAAAGACAACAACAGAAAACAGGACAGCCCATATTAACAAGAAGGAAAGCTGTTCCCCTCCTGCTGTATTGACTTCTGTTCTGTGACCTGTTCCCTTACTTGTCCCTGCAACAGCAGTGACTTTGAACATTGTAATAAAATGCTTTTTTATGTCTACACCCAGAGAAAATATTTGCAAGCAAGTTGGAGATGAACCATTCAAGGTCTACTGCATTAAGTGATATAGCAAGAAGGCATTTTTATTTTACCTAAGTTCCTACATGATCATTAAAAACATCTGTTAAGATACAAATGAAAAAATATTTTAAGGATTTCAGATTAAATCAAAATCAGCAATAGAAATCCACCAGGAGACATTTTCTAGATTTTTCTTTTTAAAACAGCATAGGCCATTCCAATCACTTGCATGTGGAAAGCAATGAATTTGTAAACAGCACTACTGTGATGCACCTAAACTTGCAAAATGTGTGTGACAGGAACAGGTTATAAATTTGCATGCACCCACGGGTCTTAAATAGATTCAAATAAATGAAAGTAGTCTATATGACCCTAGAAACCAGATAAATGCATTCAATAGTCTTCACTCAAAGGGAGGAGCACTGGGTGTCGAGAGTACTGAATAATATCCCTGGGACAAAGTTTCTCCCTCATGTTATTAGTTCTCTGATTCTGAAAGAGGATGGTCCTAGAACGATCAGGTTTCTCATTTATAAAAGTACACCCATAAAAAGCCAATACACAAGTAGCCAAAATCAAAGGTCTGAGAAAAGGTTATACATTTTTATTACTGATAAACATCCTTATTAACTTTTCATATTTTTAAGAGTATCAAGCAGTGCATTGTCCTCTATTTTAAAGCTATAAAATCATGTCCTCTTAGATTTTTATGCTCCATTAAGACTTTTGACTTGCATTTGCTGTAGAAAGGATGTTTTCTACTTCAAAAGAACCAAAGAAAGGCCACTGGTGCAATAAAATCTAACAGGAAGTCTCATAAATCAGATCAACTGTACATAAAAACCCCTCAATAACCCCAAAGGCTTGACCATAACCGAGACTTTGGGGACTGTGGCCATGCACAGATCTCTGGAAACATGGAAAGTTCATTTCCATTTCTTGCTCCCATTTAGCAGAGAAGAATTGGTGCATTCAGAGCGGACACATCATTTTCTATCAGTGTCAGAAACATCTTGTAGCTACATGGCCTGTTTTAGGACATGTTCAGCTTTGGTTTTATTTCAAAATGTTGTTCTCTTAGGTTAAAACATCTAGTGTGACCCACTGCTTTCACAACCATTCTGGCACACTCACCCTATCAACTTTCCTTTTACAAGCTGCTAAGAGAAGGGCAGTTTTCAAGAAAGCCATCACGAGAAATGGATGCTAGTCCTGTATCCCCCAACCTGCTGGGAACTGGTGTGCCTCACATGGAGTCAAGTGATACAGAATGGCATTAGCATACTGGATATCTGGGATTCCCTTGTAAACAAGGTAGTATCGGAGAAAATCGTGGTTTACATTTCTTTTGTATCTCACAGTAGAGAGTCAGAGACAGAAAGATCTGAAGCAGATAACTCCTGATGCTAAAAAGTAACTGCTGCAAAACTGAGTTTCCTCCACCATGCCTGGGCGATAAGTACATTCAGGGGAAGGTCACAAAGGAAGATGATGAGAAGACTCTTTTACCGGCATTGTCCCTGGCATGTGATGTGTAGGGGGTCTTTTGGTCGTTATCCTGTAAGGATTTTACCCTGGTTTGTTATGCTTCCACTGCCCTGCTGTGTGCAAGCTCTTCTTCACTACTGTATGTGCACGGGGAGACAGCAACCTCCTGGAGAGGTTCTTAGACTCTGCTACCCATTCCTTTAGTTTGTCAGCTCGGGGGCTGATGCACCCTTCCTTGACATCTGTGATGAATGGACAGTTGCACAGGCAAGGGAAAAGCAGAAGAAAACAGCAGAGCAAAAATTCGAGGTTGTTGCTTTATGCTGGAGATTCCAGGGGCCACAGATTTCCTTGAAGGCTGTGCTCCAGAAGGACATGCACTGCCTCGCCAGTGTTTAGAGGCCCTGGATTGCTTCAGGTTTCTGCAAACTGCATCAAGACAAGGTGCCATGTGCTTATGGAGACACAGGTGTGTAGAAACGGGCATGAGAAAGAAAGATTTGGTGGACATTTGTCTCCCAGAAACTTGTTCTCTTGCCCCCAAATCTGAACAGGTTGGTCTACATTAGATGTAGCATGTGTTTCATCACACTACAGCTTGTCCTCTTAAAAAGTCAAAATGCCTCGCCCACCAAAAGAAGTAAGGCAAACAGACCTAAGTCTGGTCAACACACAGTATCATACTACTGTGGCTAAAAATACGCTAGTTTCTACTGATTTGATTTAACTGCCCCACGCTCCTGCCTGGAGTAAATGTCTGCATTAATTTCAATTTGGCTTAAACTGGTTGAAACTATGTTGGTAAATAAGATACAGTCAAAACTCTGCTCTAACAAGTGTTTATAATGGATTCGTTCTATTCCTTTTTTAAGCAAATCCCATTTAAGACAGTGCACTTGTGTGTGACGAAACTATTGTTAGGTGACTGCTGATTATGAATCTGACCTAATACATTCAATTTGATAGAAAAATTCCCACTGCATTCAATGAACATCAAAACAAGCTCTTAAGTAAAGACAAGAAAAAGAAAAAAAAAGAAAAAGAAAAAAAAAAAAAAAAAGGAAAATAAATAGAAAATAAAAGACATAAAAATGCTGGACAGAGATCTATCCAGAAGAAGAACGATATGCTTGGGGCATGGTGTGGGTTTGGTAGGGCAAAAACAATCTTCAGCTGCCCTTATTTATAATGCAGCTGTGTTGGAGATGGCCAAACTACCACTTTTTCCTACTGCTATCAGCAAGAAAGCCAGTCCTTTCACAAGTACTCCACTCAATAAAATTTTTCTTCTCTATTTTCTAGAATTGGTTTCAAAATGTATCTTGCGCTAAGTATTTTTTACAACAGCCTACCCATCACAGTTCTGCGCTATTTATTTTTCTTGCACTAAAAGCAAATGTGTATTTCTTCACCATAAAAGGAAAACTGCTTTTTCTTCTTTTTTTAAATTAAAATGATGTGGTAACACATATTCATCAGACTTCTCTAAACATTTACGCATTCATTGGGCTTTGTTATCAATGTTAGAGCTAACCAGGAAAAGAAAGTGAATCCCTCATTAAAAAGCGATATGACTAATGATGCATCAGAATGAGTGGCCATTACTCCACTTAGACCTAAATTAAAAATCCTGGTATTTGCATTGTCAATTCACTCACAAAATGGAATCTCTTATTACCTTACCCAATTTTCATTACTGAGATGTAAGTGAATCCCAAATTGCTTTTCTAGTCAGAACGGCATTTTAAAAGTATAATCCCTGATCATCTCTGTTCATCATCATTGTTGGAGATTATCTCAATTAATGGGCAACATGTCTATAATAAATCACCCTTCAGGTAAAATCACTTCACATTTCTGGAGTTTCAAGGAATTCATCAGCAAAATCATTTTCATCTAAGTAATTCTCCATGGGAGAGTGTTGTGTCGGTTGAACTTTTATTGGGAATGTTTTCTAAGCTGAGAAGCAGCGGAGAAAGGGACACAGAAAAGGAGACCAAGAGAGAGATGAGGAGAGTCACAGTCAGTCTTTACTTAACCTGATCAAATTTACAGCGTGCGTAACCTGAAATACACTTGTCTGCAGCAAACACCAATAACTGTCCATTGACTACTCTGGTGTGGTCTTGCTCTTTTACTGTGAATTTTTTTCAAATCCTTGTTTCATCCAAATATTAAAAAGAAAAAGAAAAAGAGAAAAAGAGAAAGAAAGAAAGAAAGAAAGAAAGAAAGAAAGAAAGAAAGAAAGAAAGAAAGAAAGAAAAAAAGAAAGAAAGAAAGA